GATCAAGTGAACAGCAGATTATTATTTAATCTGTGGTCCAAATGTTCACATACAACTAGAATATATCAAGTATTATTTATAACTAGAGTATATATGCAACATATATAGAATAATGGTTCTTGAAAGGGAATGACTTTGCCTCCAGAGATTTTTTTTGGCAATGCCTAGAGAGATTTTTGGGCACAACTGAAGAGTGCCACTGGCACCTAGTGGGCAGAGGCCAGTTATGCTGCTAACATCCTACCATGAACAGGGCAGCCTCTGCAAGAACTAGTCAATATGAAAACCTCAACAGAGTCAAGGTTGAGAAACCAGAAACAGAATCAGATAACATGACTATGTCCCATTGGAGGGATACTTTCTCCCTCTCCGTCTTTCTCTAACGAACACATGTACCTCTGACAACTGGGGGGAGAAAGAAGAATTGGGTTGAAATATTATCATCTGCCTTTCTTCATTTGTTTTATTTAATTAAAATTAGTAGTATTCAATTCCTGGGAACCAGCAGTTAGCATAATGGCTATGTCGCTGGACTCCCACGTAGTCGACAGCGGTTCGCGTCCCGGAATCGCCGGGCGCATGTGCGTGCAAGCCCAAGATCCCGAGAGGAGAATGGAGAAGGGATTGTGGTGTGACCACCCCCACTGGGGGGTGATTTCTCTCTTTCTGTCTCTATGTCTCTTTCTGTCTGGCAAGCGCACGTGCCCTATAGCGAAAACTTCTCAAAAAAAAAAAAAAATTAGTAGTATTCCTCAGTTTTACTAATCGAATTTCAAAAAGCTTAATAGCCACATGTGTCTAATGGCTACCATTACTGGAGAGCACAGGTAAAGAAAATTTCTACCACCACAGAAAGTTCTATCAACAGTACTGCCTGTCTAGCTGTTAGATCTAGGGCACATCCTGCAAGTCTTAATGAGATCCTTAAAACATTTCGGGCAGAGAATTAAAATAACAAACTTATTTTAGTCTGTCTTATTTTTAACTTCAATTACAATCCAGGATAAGAAAGTATATTCCACTTAAAAACATCAAAAATATTTACCTATTTGTTCAGTTGCTTTGTTAACATTTGTTAACCAGCTTAGTTCAATATTTGCTGAATGTCAACCACATGTGTCAGACATTGTGGTAAAAGCTCAGGATTCAAATCTGAATAAACTACACGTTTTTCCATTAAAAATCAAACATTAGGGTTAGCCAATGACATGATAGTTAAGGCAGCTAAATCTCACAGGGCCAACTGCAAAGTTCGAGTCCCTGACCTGGTGGCTTGAAAACACACTGGATGTATATACATACTCAAAATTCCCAAAGGAGGGAGAAATGGAGGACAAAAAGGATTGCAGCTGATGTTCCACATCTGGAGTACTTTCTATCTGCTTTCTACCTGTCCCTCCTCTCTCCAGCAAGCCCAGGCACCCACTGGCAAATTTAAAAGCAAAAAAACAAAAATTAAACTAAAAGTCACAGCATGACTAACAAAATATATACATACAGTAGTCCCCCCTTTCCACAGTTTTGTGTTTTGCAGTTTCGATTATCCACAGCCACCCACGGCCCAAAAGTAGTAGCCAGAAATGAACAATTTCTAAGTTTAACGTTGCATGCCACTTGAGTAGTGTGATGAAATCTCACGCAGTCCCACTCTGTCCACACTGCACTCACTACTCTCACTTAGTAGCTGTCTTGGTTATCTGATTGACTGTCTCAATATGATACTGCTTGTGGTCAAGTAACACTATTTTACCAAAGAATAGCCCCAAAGCACAAAAGTAGTCATGCTAGTAGCTTGGATATGTCAAAGAGAGGCCATAAGATGCTTCCTTTAAATGAAAAGGTGAGAGTTCTTGTCTTATAAAGAAAGAAAGAAAAAAAAAAAAGTATATGCTGCAGTTGGTAAAACATATAGTAAAAACAAACCTATCCATGAAATTGTGACAAGAGAAAAAGAAATTCATGCTAGTTTTTCTCTCATACATGAAACTGCAAAAGTTACACTCACAGTGCATTAAGATGGAAAAGGCACTTAATTCATGGGTAGAAAATATGAACAAGACTATTTCCCAATGACAGCAAGTAGGTCCAGTACTATGCTGTTTCAGGCATCCCCTGGAGTTCTTGGATAAGAGGACTATGGTAGGGGACCAGCAGTTAGCGTAATGGCTATGTCGCTAGACTCCCATGTAGTCGACTGTGGTTCACATCCCGGACCCAGTGGCTTAAAACTCACGCCGGGCGCTTGTGCATGCGTGCCCACGATCCCGAGAGGAGAACAGAGGAGAAGGGATTGCAGCATGGCCATCCCCCCTGGGGGGTGATTTCTCGCTTTCTGTCTCTCTGCTCTCTCTGTGTGGCGAGTGCACGCGCCCTATAGCAAAAACCTCTCCCCCCCAAAAAAAGAGGACTACAGTATACTGAACAGTCAAATGCATCTTGCTCCAAAGACAGTTCATTTTCTTTAGAGAAAATACCTTGATTCTTCTGAGACCGTAAGAAAAAAATCGGCTCTTCAGATTTTAACAGTGAAAACAAGAGTAGATAACAAAAAACCTGAACTGATGACAATCTGACCCATGGGAAATTATTTAAAATCCTTAGTATGACTTTTGTATACCTGAAAATACTATATATTCTACAGCAGGTCACAAACTACAAGGACAACTTTTATATCAGTATAACATAAACTGCAGAACACACTTCCATGTATCACTAAGGATTCAAAATAAGCTTGTTGTCTTACTCTTCAGACTCCTGATATTCTTTACAATATTTAAGATTACATTGTTTTTCTTCTAACTCATGTTCCAGAATTGGCATTCTTAAGTTTTTGATACCTACTCTTCACAATTAATGACCCAATATTTCTCTCAAGGTAAACAAATATTTCCTTATCTCACTTGGACCTATATACTTTTCCTTCCTCACATGGGCAGGTTTTGTCTTTTTTTTTTTTATTTTAAATTTTGCCACTGGGTAAGTGTGCTCTCTGGAAAGGGAGGGAGGGAGGGAGGGAGAGAGAGAAAGTAACCTTTATGGTAGATGACCACATAGCAATCCCTTTGCCTCCATTTTTCCCTCATTTCAGGATTTTGAGCACACATGCACATGCGCCTGGTGTGTTTTTCAAGCCACCAAGTCCAAGTTGCACAGTTGGTCATTTGAGATCCAGTCACTTAACCTCCCTGTCACTGGCTAGCCCCAGGCAAATTCTTGTTGAAAACTCTAGAGAAGCTACCCACAGATGCCTAAATAAGTTAGAACACATTTCATCACCATACTAAAGATTTGCTTTATTTAAATAATGGGTTTCTAAATTGCAGCCTCCAAACCTCTGTTAAATGTGTAAATGAGATCACAACAAATGTTCCTTTGTATTTATTAATTGTGATTATTTGTACACTGTTCTAACAGCAGTCAATATTCAATTTCCTAACTAGCAGTTCTAAAACCGTTTGAACTCAGGACCCTTTATCACTCTCAAAAAATCCTAAGAACCTAAAGGAGGTTTTGAGTACATGAATTATGTCTATCTAGATATTAATAACAGAAATTCTTTTAAAATTTACTAATTCAGAAATAACAATGTATCCATTACATGTTCACATATTGGGTTGTTGGGAAAGTCATGATGTATTTTAGCACAGAAAAACACGTCACGACTTTCCTGACAACCTAACAGATAACTGTTTTTCTGAAAACAATCACATTTTCCTACCAAAATTGAGTAAGAATGATAAAAGACTTAAGATGAAATAGTTGGATTTAGAGCAAGCAGGCGGCATGGTATTAAGGTGCTGGATTCCCACATGGCTTACAGTCGTTCAAGTCCCAGGCCTCATGGCTTGCTTTCTCACTCTCTCTGGTCAAATTAAAGTTAATTAACTAACTTAATTAAGAATTCTTTTTTGGGTGTACCAGCAGTTAGCATAATGGCTATGTCACTGGACTCCCAAGTACTCGAACGCAGTTCGCGTCCCGGACTCGGTGGCTTAAACCTCGCGCTGGGCGCGTATGCGTGCGTCCCCAAGATCCTGCGAGGAGAATGAAGGAGAAGGGACTGCGGCGTGGCCATCCTCCCTGGGGGGTGATTTCTCGCTTTCTGTCTCTCTGTCTCTCTCTGTCTGTCTGGCAAGCGCACGCACCCTATAGCAAAAACCTCTCCAAAAAATAAAAAAGAATTTTTTTTAATTCTTTCATTTTATTTATCATCATTATTATTATTGTTTAATTTGACACAGACACGTATCAGAGAGAGAGAGTGAGTGTGTGAGAAAACAAGCCACCAGGCCCAGGATCTGAACCACGGTTGGCCATGTGGGAGTCCAGTTCCCCAACCTCCATGCCACCTGCGGCCCCAAGAATTCTTTTTTAAAAAAGAAAATAGTTGGATTCTCATAGCAGCCTCTGAAAACAAAAGATACTAATAAACTGTATCTTAAGTATTTCTGCTTAAACACAAGAGATAGGAAACCAGCTCTCCTTGCAAGATGTATCATGAACTTAACATTTGCCCCACATAAAGGATCTGACTAAAGAACCTAAAATTCTTTTACCAAGCACTTACTGAATTCCTACAACTTAAACACATTTAGAATATAGATACATTAAAACCATGCTGTCTAAAAAAATAAATAAAAAACCGTTCTAGGCATTGCTATTAATTAGAACCATAAAATGTGTAATGCTGATTGTCCAATAACAGCTAATGCTCCTACTAGGCATTCTACTAAGCATTTTACTGATATATGGTTATTACATTTAATTCTCAACCCCATAAGGTAAGTACACCAGATCTTAAATATAAAGAAACAAATACAAAAATAGGTTGTCTAAGGTCAGAAGAATGGATAGTCAAGTTGGGATTTAAAACCAGCATTCACTCAACCGTCTCCTCCAACAAAATCCAATGTTCATCCTACAGAAAAATTATAGATTGATTTCTGGCTAAAGAAAATGTTTTAAGAAAATATCAATACTTTAAAAAGAGACAAACTCACAGTTTTTAGTTCCATGAGGACTTGTTCATCCACTCCATCATCCAGAAAGATGTCTCTGACATCATTAATAACATCTTCGATCACAGATCTATATAATTTAGGCTTTAAAGGAAAAACAAAACTGTTGAGAAACACCAGTTTTATAGGTTAAAATGTACAAGTTATCACAAATTCAAAACGAAGGCAATACACCTGTCATTTTGCCAATGATCTAAAACTTACTCTATACTACATGACTTTAAAGGTATGGCCATCCTAATGAACATAATCTGCCCTAGTTAAAGTGGATGGTTATATACATGTATTTTTTAAAGAGGTTTTTGCCTTAGGAACCATGCATTTGCTGGAGAGAGACAGAGACAGTGAGAGGGAAAGTAAGACATCACTCCCTGCAGGGGAGATAGCCACACCACAATCCCTTCTCCTCCAGAGATCTTGGGCACACAGGCACACATACCTGGCCTGAGTTTCAAGCCACCAGTTTTGGGACTCAAACTGCTGTCAGGCCATATGGAAATCCAGGATATAACTGCTAGGCCCCCATGATGACTATGTATTTTAAAACAAAGGGACTTCAAAACATTCATGGACACGTGGAATTCAAGTACAAGCTTACTTTGGTGCAAAAAAAACTTGCAACCCATGCATATTTTTTTTCATTTCCCATTAATTTTTTGAAGACACCTCATAGATATGAAAGCACTCTCAAAAGTATAAAGTATTTTTAGAAACCAAAAGTTGGGTTAGAATAATTAGCCCAAAGCACATCCTATTTTTAATCTGCCAGACAAAAAATATTCATGTCAGATGCTAAAACTAGAGCTGCCTAGTTATGAATCCTATCCATTATCACAGAGGTAAGGTTAACAACCTTTTTGTTTTTCATGCTTTGTTGTTGCGTTTTATATCTTCCTTTAAAAGTTACTAGCTACTAAATAAAATCCAAGTTTGCTCTCATAACCAAACATCAAAAAGAAATTATATTTCATTAGCATTTTTATCAGCAATAGTATTATCACAAGGGAACCTCTAAGAATATATCTACTACCATCCAAAAATACAAATAGTGAACTGGTCAGCTCAACTTACATCAACGATTAAAAACTAGTCTTCCTTGGGACCAGCAGTTAGCATAATGGCTATGTCACTGAACTCCCATGTAGCCAACTGTGGTTAGAGTCCCAGATCTGGTGGCTTACACTCACGCAGGGCGCATGTGTGTGCATACCCAAGATCCTGAGAGAGGAGAATGGAGGAGAAGGGATTGCGGTGTGGCCATGCCCCCTGCGGGGTGATTTCTCGCTTTCTATCTCTCCATTTCTGGCGAGTACACGCACCCTATAGCAAAAACCTCTCAAAAAAAAAACAAACAAACAAACAAAAACAACTATTCTTCCTTTTTCACTACAGACAGAAAACAAAGAAAACAATTCAAGTATCTGCATTCTCCCCATTATGGAATTTTTTTTTTTTTTTTTAGAGTTCTGCTATAGGGCCCAGGAAGGCATGAGAGATGATGAATGGAGGATTTAGGCATGGCCTAAGTAAGTAGGCCTCTCCTTCATTCTCCTCTTGGGATTTTGGACATGCACAATATGCGCCTGGCTTGAGTTTCAAGCCACCAGGTCCAGGACTTTAACCAAGGTTGGCCATGTGGGACTGCAGCCAAGTAACCATTACACCATCTGCTGGTCCCCCAATATGGGAGATTAGGCCTGGTTTTTAAATGTAGCCAGATATGCCTCTCAATTTTAAATTATTCATCTGTACAATGAGTATTTCTACAGTGCTTCCTTAACTTTTAAATTCTATACAAAATAAAAGTATATGTGCCTGGGGTTATCACGTTACCTATAAAGATTTAACTACTGAATTACACAAATACGTCTATAAATTGCATTTTACCAATAAGGATTCCACAAAGTATTATAATAAGGCCATATTATTTTAACATATTGACAGTATAAATCTCGAACTGATTATATATTACTTTTCATCAAAATACACAATGTCAATTTTTTGGGGGGGGTTTTTGAGGTTTTTGCTATAGGGTGCGTGCCCTCGCCAGAGACAGAGATACAGAAAGCGAGAAATCACCCCCCGGGGGGATGGCCACCCTGCAATCCCTTCTCCTCCATTCTCTTCTTGATATCTCGGGCATGCACTCACACACACCTGGAGTGATTTAAACCACCAGGTCCCTGGGACTTGAACCGCGGTTGACTACACGGGAGTCCAGCGACATAGCCAATATGCCAACTGCTGGTCCCGTGTTGTTGGTATTTCTGACATCGGTTACACCTAAAAATCTTTTGCTTAGAAATCCACATTTGTAAGTACAAATTTGCTTTCTTCTAATAAGTCAATCATACTTTTAAGAATTTTGCTTTTGTGCCTTAAAATACTCATGGTTTCATAAGCACTACAGTTGAAGGAAAAAGAGAAATACGTATTCTTCATGAAGTATATGCACAAAGAGTAATTTAGCAGAACTGTTCGTAACTGGAAAGCTCCCAAGATAGTGTTTATGTGGGTATACAGATGCCATTTAAAATAAGCAATTTCTAAGTTCTTACCTAAAATTCCAAACTTTATGTGTTTTTTTTTTTTTGTATTTTACTAAATGCAAAGTAATTTAGGTTTGTTCTGAATTTTAAAGAACAGATACTCCAAATTTTAAAACAGGCATGTGAGTGGGCCTAATGTGGTATTATCAAGTGATTAGAAAGCTTTTTTTCTTAAGTGTCCATTCCCTGATGTAAACTTGGAAAACAGATTAATTTGTATATTGGATACCACATTTCTATTCAATGCAGTAAAATTCTACCTGGAATTTTCCTTTTCAAAAATCCAGTTTGCGGGCCAAGTGATTAGAAGGTTCTTCTCAAGTGCCCATTCCCTGATGCAACCTTGGAAAATAGATTAATTTGTATACTAGATACCATGTTACTTCCAAAGCAATAAAATACTTGGAATTATCCTTTTAAAAAATCCAATTTGCAGGGCAGCAGGTAACATGGTAGTTAAGAGTGCTGGACTCCCACATGGCCGACTATGGTTCGTGGTTCGGGTCCTGGACCTGGTGGCTTGCTTTGCTTCTCATGTTCGTTCTCCCCCCCCCATTAAAATGGATGAATAAATAAAGTCAGGTAAAAAAAAAAAATTCTAAAATAAAAACTCAATCTGTAGTAAGTCTCCTCACTCATTACAATTCTACAGATAACTGCACTGTTGACATAGGTCCTTTACTGATGCATTAAGCACCTACTTCTTTGAAAAACTTTTGCCTTTGACATTACATACTATAAAAACATAATGAACTATTTGGAAGTATACTTCTAACATATTTCCTGAATACTTGATGAATTAAACACTCCCCAAACCAAGTGCCCTGCAGCTAGAAACAGTTAATGATTTCTGGCAACTCACGCATTTCCCAATATTAAAAAGAAAAAAATTACCTTATCCGAGCTAAAATTCTTTTTTCTTTTTTAGATAAACATTTTTAAAATAAAAATGAAAAAGGATGCCAATACGGGTATATTTTCCCTAACAAATAAGGCGTATCCTAGCTGCTGCATCAAAACAAAAACTTGAGGCCATGAAAGCGGTCCCCACCCGGAGCGAAATTAGAACGGAAGAAAAGGCCCTAGAAATAAATTGAGCTCCGCACGCGCCTGCCTCTCGCCTCGGGAGCACGCACCTCCCAGCCCCGCTCTCAGCAGCTCTCACTATTTAAAGCCGGATCTGGTGTTTAAATGGAGAGGCGGTGACGTAGGCCTGAAAAGCACCTTCCCATCCTGGCAGAGTCTATATTAGAGAGCGGCAATGGCTCTATATAAACAGGGCAGCCAAAGGGAGGAGGACCACAAGGCTCAGGGACTGAAAAGCAGGGTAAGCGGCCGCAGCCATGATGGATCGACCCGAGTCGCCAACGGTATGGTGTCGGGCGGCCGTGAGCTGGTCTGCGGCATTCGGGACCGGGCAAAAACGTGTTTTATTGTCACAATAAAAATAAGAGTTGGGTGGACTAGTGATCGCACTGCATTGGTGACTGAAAAGGTTATGGATGTGACTGCTTTTTGCAAACCTAAGTGATCGCAAGTAACCAAAAAGGGACAAATGGGAAGAAGTAGGCAAATTTCAAGGCGAAAACGGGGGCACTGTGACCACTGTAGGCTTTTTTTTTTTCGGTTTGTCTTGGTGCTTTGCTAGTCGAAGACACGATGGGGGTTTTGCTTCCCCTTCGCCATTTTACCCATTCGGAAGGAACTGAGATAAGTGCTTTTCAACCTTCGTCCTTTTTTTAAA